GTCTTGAGCTGGCCCAGGCTGCTGTGAGTGCAGCGTCTTGAGCTGGCCCCAGGCTGCTGTGAGCGCAGCGTCTTGAGCTGGCCCCAGGCTGCTGTGAGCGCAGCGTCTTGAGCTGGCCCCGGTCAGCGCAGTGTCTTGAGCTGGCCCAGGTCAGCGCAGTGTCTTGAGCTGACCCCAGGCTGCTGTGAGCGCAGCGGCGCACGCTCCTTCCTTGCTCGTCCTCTTCTGCACCTGGTGGGCTCCTGCTCGGATAAGTGTTAGCTGCATAGTATCCGAAGAACAAAGAACATGTGCTGATTATGCAGCGGTTCTTGCCCTTTAGAGTCACACTGTGCACATATCTGAGAGTCTGACTGAGTGGGGCCCCTCTCCTCTCATGGAGTCTGTGTAGGGAATTGGAATGATTCATGTTACTTGTAGGCCAGTCTCAAGTTTGAAAATTTTATATTTGCCATATATACAGCATAACTAAGTACATTCACTTTAAGCTGAATTTATATGTGTATGTTATGTGTCTGTGTGCGTGTGTATATATGTTTTTTTTTTTTTTTTAAGAAAGGAGTTTGCTCTGTGGCCCAGGCTGGAGAACAGTGAAATCATCACAGTTCACTCAAGCTGCAAACTCCTGGGCTCAAGCAGTTTTCCTGCCTCAACCTCCCAAGTAGCTGGGACACGAGGCTCCTGTCCTCACACTGGACTAAATTCTTTTTTTTTTTTGTACAGATAGGGGTCTCACCATTTTGCCCAGACTGTACCTTCTGATCTCAAGCGAATTCTCCTGCCTGGGCTGTCCAAAATGCTAGGATTACAGGCATGAGATACTGTGCCCGGCCAGATTAATAATTTTGAGATTTTGAAGAAACACTGTGCTCTGCAGAGTAATTGGTAAACCCTCTTTGCAGTTAGTGCTACACGTGGCTGGTTACCACAGTCACCACGTTATTGTGTTGGTCCATCTGCCTTTTCAGTTTTGACAATTCAAACTTACTTTTGTAATTGGTAAGTTTCTAAAACATTCCTTAAGAATTATAACATTTTAATTTTTAAAAAATTTTTCAAGACCAGAACTTGTTCGTCCAGCCACGACTTTGTATCAGCATAACCTGACCGGCATTCTCGAGACCGCGGTCAGAGCCACCAATGCACAGTTTGACAGTCCTGAGATCCTGAAGAGGCTGGACGTGCGGCTGCTGGAGGTATTGTTCCTGCCTTGAGGCGGGCTATAGCACCTGGGCCTGCTCTGCCCTGGTTTCGGGGTGGTTACCAGCAGGTCTCCTTCCTAACACCTTTGGAAGAGGCACAGTGGGGGACAGTGGGGTAGGGTGGGGCATCATGCTGGGCAGGGCACCACAAGGGGGCGGGGGGGGGGGCGGGGAAGGTGCTTCTGTTGGATGAAACTCTTGAGACCTTGACCGTGGCAGCTGGTCATGGAGGCTCAGCATGGCTTTACATAATACATTTCATCGGAGGCAGAGGTCATGATTCATAATTTGTTTTTGGTGTGAGGTGACTTTTCTTAGGACTGTGTGTATTAAAACATGAGCATATTGTTTAGTTATGGTGACGGCTCATTAGCAGAACCTACTGATATTCTTAAACTGTTAGAACATAAGGATTTTTCGTAAGGGTTGATTTAGAATGACTGAAAGGTTTGGAAGATACTATGAGGCAGTGGGTTTTTGCTTGATGAATTTTAAATGTATTTGCAGTATTCATTCAGAAATTTACAGAGCACCTCCCTGTGCCTGTCCTTGTCTAACTGCTGCTAGGAGGGAAGTTAATAGAGCTGCTAAACACTCAAAATTTTTAAGTAGTTTTTAAAAATTAGGTGTTATTTATACTGTCTTTTCTTTGAGGAGTCAACAAGTTCAGCAGCTTAGAGTCTTGCCATTGTTTGTGCTGTCAGGTCTCTCCTGGTGACACTGGGTGGGATGTCTTCAGCCTGGATTATCATGTTGATGGACCTATTGCAACGGTAAGATCCTTCTTTGTAGTGTTTCAGATGTTAAGATTGCAAATTTACCTCAAAACATGGTAAATGAGGTGAAGGCTATGCTGATTAGTAGGATGTAAGCACTCTAGTTTGTACAAGTAACACATTGAATCCCATGATGGCATAAATGTATTTATGATCTATGTACAAATGACTTAAAAAAAGATCGCTAAACATTTTGTTGTTTAAAATTGTCTTTCTTCTCTAGGGCTTATAATCAAAGTGATCACTTTGACATATAAGATATACTCCTTGAATGAATATTTAAGCCAAAATTGTGTGTGTGTATGTTAAATAATTATTAGTGAGTGCTGAAATTCTCCATTATTTTAGGAATTCTTAAAAACACTATCGGTTCTATCATAACTTCCCGCAAGTGTAAATGGCTAGCTCATTTTGTTCCTTTATTCTTAGATAGCAGTGACTCGGTTAGGATAAAGTGTATTTTAGGGAAATCATATTTTTACTGTGTGGGGGGAATTTGATATTTAGTCCTTGTTTAAGCTGTTGAGGAAAGAGTGTCGCTGTTCATAGTACCGCTGTCTATGTGCAGAAACTCTTGTGACAGTCGACCACATGTTAGCGTTGACCAAAGCTGTCTTCTGATGTCTTCAGTTAACATGCCTCATCTCTTAGTCTTCATTCTTTCTTCATTCAGACTTGACCAAGGTAGCTCTTTGAACTTATCTCGAACACTGAGGTGGGCCATTGCATTTCTTTTAAGTACTAGGAAGAGCAGTTGAGAGTGATGCTGGTGGTGCAGCTGCCCGGCGGCCCTGCCTCCTGGGCACAGCCCTCGTGGTGGTGCAGCTGCCCGGCGGCCCCTGCCTCCTGGGCACAGCCCTTGTGGTGGTGCAGCTGCCCGGCGGCCCCTGCCTCCTGGGCACAGCCCTCGTGGTGGTGCAGCTGCCTGGTGGCCCTGCCTCCTGGGCACAGCCCTCGTGGCTGGAGGTTCATCCAGGCCACGTCCTCCTTCTTGTCCTTTGGGGTTAGCGGGTTGGCCACTGACAAAGGTGCCTCTTGTGTCTGCTCTGAAATGGAGGCTGCTGGTGTGGTTCCTTTGCACACAGATCCCCAGCATGTAGTGGCCCTATTAGATCACACCTAAGTATAAAATTGCCCTGAAATTTAATTTTTGCCATATTCAAATGAGCTTTTTTCCCTTTGACTTATATCCTAAACAGTTTAAAATAGTTATAATGTACTAAAGAGTGTGATATTTAAAAAAAAAATTTAAATTAGCAAATTTCATATTACCTGCCTTATTTTATCTTTTTTTTTTCTTTGCAGTTTTTGGCCAGGGCTGGGTTTGAACCAGCTGCCTCCAGCATATGGGGCCAGTACCTTACTCCTTTGAGCCACAGGCACCACCCTACCTGCCTTATTAATTTGTCTATATTCCCTATTATTTTCATAGCAAAAAAGATATACCATGTAAATTTAATTGTATCAGTTATTTCACAGAGTATGAGTGCCTTGACAAACAGGTAAACTGAGCACGGTTTAGATTCATAATTACTAATTATTCCACAATCGTGCAGATCTTAACAGTATCAAGGTTATAAGTTATATGCTATAAACAGTTTATCATGCAGTATTGTTAATGTTTTAGATTTTTAAAAGCTCTGCTTTCGTAGAAGGACTAAAGAAAAGAAGTTTATATCAGATTTATTTTAAAAAGCATCTACTTCCATATCCATGGCAAATGTGTATCAGTTTGTGGCCAACTCAGGTGGGCTGAGGGCAGCATCCTAGAGTGCTCGGGCTTGCGGAGAGCACCAGTGTGCCCTGGGGTGGCGGGGTCTGCACAGCCATGGCTTGGGAGTGTGTGGGCCTAGGCGCCAGCCCATGCAACTCTGGTATCTGCCATTCCAGTTTTGGGGGTAGCACATGTCCTGGGGTTAGTATATTTTTGGCTAAATTGCCATACCTATAATTACATTTCATAATTTAAAGTGTTCAAAGTAATGTTAGTAATTGGGACAATTATCAAATTAGTTTGTATCTAGTTACAAACAAAAGTTACTAGAAAGATAAAAGAGGGCTATTGTATTTCTGAAAAACACTTTTAGAGTCAAATGTGTTTTTTGCTTTTTCCCTGTTAAATTTAATTTGCTTTATTACCACTATTTCCTTTCGATCTTAATAATTGAGGTTGTCATTTTTGTGCAGAATTTAATTATAATAGGTATATGTCTTTTAATTATATAATTACATCTTATAACTGCATAATTTTAGCTTCTTACTAATTCTGTGTTATATAATGTCAGGTGAAATTTTTTTACAGTTCTAATTTAGAAAATCTGGGAAATTTGAAACTCAGATTGCTCAAATAAAAATATATTAACTAAACATAGTTCATAAACATTTAAAATATTTTTGATTTATCTTGTTTTTGGTGAATCTTAAACTATTCAGGTAAAGTCAATAATTTTATTTGTGTAAAATTTTTAGTATACTTAAGTCATTTGATGTTGACTGTAATTGAATGTGGATTTATTTTTTTGTTTTAAGGTCATGAAGTTGTCATATGTAGTCAGATAGCCTAATATTAGATGAAAAGTCTTATTTTGTCACCCTTAGTAAAGTGCTGTTGGTGTCATAACTCACAGCAATCTCAAACTCTTGGGCTCAAGCAATTGTCTTGCCTCAGCCTCCCAGAGTGCTAGGATTACAGGTCTGGCCCAGTGGTCTGTTCTATCTTGTTTGTTTGTTTGTTTGTTTGTTTTGAGACAGAGCCTCACTGTGCCGCCCTGGCTAGGGTACTGTGGTATCATCACAGCTCACACGTGATATTCCTGCCTCAGCTTCCTCAGTAGCTGAGACTACAAGTGCCAGGCTAGTTTTTCTACTTTTAGTACAAATGGGGTCTCACTCTTGCCCAGGCTGGTCTTGAACTCTAAAGCTCAAGGCATCCCCCTACCTTGGCCTTTCACAGTGCTGAGATTGCAGGTAGGAGCCACTGAGCCTGGCCTCCAGTGATGAGTTTTAGATAAGGAACTGAGAGACCTTTTTAGTAGCCAAAGGAAAATGATGTTTTCCTCTATATAATTGAGTAGAATGTGACTTTATTCCTCTTAAAGAGTTAATATTCTTAAAGATTTGTGATTAAACCAAATTAAAAAATCACATCAGATCTTAGCTAAAAGGCAGAGAAGTGATGAAATTTTAAAAAATCAAGTTATTATTTTAAATGTGTTATTAGAATATGGTATTTAAAGGACCCCTGTAGGACATCATTTATTATTGCAGAATCCTTTGATTTATTCATAAAATCAGTTAAACTAGTCACACTTAATCTTTATAATTGTTACAGTGTTAATAGTGTGGGCAGCACAGCAAAATCAAGTAACCACCACAACATTCATGTTTGGTTTTGCAGTACCTTCCCCTTAGTTCTGATCACTCCTGTTTAGATGTTAATTATCAGTCAGTGTTGAACACCTAGCAGATACTGACACAAAAAGATGTGAAGAAGAATAAATAGTCCTTGGGAACAGGCAAGAAATACATGAATACAAGAAATAAGATAAAGTAGCATGCAGTCAAGTTCTAAAATTGTACGAATCAAGCAGTAAATGTTACAAGTCGCTGAAGGAAAGAGAAACTGGTGAGAGGATTCTTAAGTGTGGAACAGTGTGAGCCTGTGTGTGTTCTCTGCAGGTGTTCACTCGGGAATGTATGAGTCACTACTTGAGAGTGTTTAACTTCCTCTGGAGGGCGAAGAGGATGGAGTATATCCTTACTGACATCCGGAAGGGGCACATGTGCAACGCCAAGCTCCTGAGGAGCATGCCAGGTAAAGTCCTGAGGAGTGTGGCAGGTAAGCTCCTGCCAGAGCCGGCAGTGCCTGCACTTACCAATGATGTCCCCTGTGTGCAGTTTCCAGCAACTTGGCATAGACACATGTCTGGAAGGGGAAACCTCTGTGGGATGATGGGCCTGAGCCACCGTACCTGGCCTGCTTATCTCGACTTTAGTACAAATAAGAAAAATGAAAATTGAGTCAAACAAGGCTTTTTTTAGATGATGAAGTTTCTTTTAAGATCACTCATGAGCTGTCGCTGACTGTGGGTAACTGCACCTGCAGGGAGAGAAACTGGATAAGTGGGATTGCCGTGTTTCTTCCTTTGGAAAATTGTGTTTTGCCTGTGTTTCTTTTGGGGTCTTAGCGTTTTTATCTGTAGTTCATAAAGGAATGTTGTAAAGGTATTCGTTGGCCCAGGATTTTCGCAAGCAGAATCAATGAGCTAGTGTTCTAGTAAGGCTAGTGAGAAATGTCCTACCAGCGGTAAACTGAGGCACAAACATGGGCAGACCCCAGGATGCAGCTCCCCCTACACAGTATGTGGAGGACAGATCTGTCTGACAGTACGTGGAGGACAGATCTGTCTGACAGTACGTGGAGGACAGGTCTGTCTGACAGTACGTGGAGGACAGGTCTGTCTGACAGTACGTGGAGGACAGGTCTGTCTGACAGTACGTGGAGGACAGGTCTGTCTTAACAGTACGTGGAGGACAGGTCTGTCTCAGAGTATGTGGAGGACAGGTCTGTCTTACAGTATGTGGAGGACAGGTCTGTCTTACAGTACGTGGAGGACAGGTCTGTCTTACTTAGTGAGGGTCAGTAGTTGTCACCCGGCAGTATGGTAACAATACTTAGCAAAGCTGTGACTTGCTGCATTCTGTGGGGTAATCGCACATGGATACAGTTTGCTCGGGACAGGACTCTGTCTGCCAGGAAGATGGTGGCGTCCTGATAGCAGATGGTTTCTCATGGCCAACCTGGGTAGCGGCTGCTGGACACAACAGCAGCAATGTGGAAGTGGTGTGTTAGGCTCAGCTAACCTGAGCAGTGGGGCTGCTGCTGCCTCCCGGACGTGTTTCAGGTGGCATCTCACAGAGTGAAGTGGGTGAAAGAGCAGGTGTCTGTCCTGTCTGTGTCGGGGGAGGAGTGGATAGAGACCTCTTCCCTCCAGCTTCCTCACTCCCCCTTTCAAGAGTGATACTAAAATAATCCTCTTTTGTTATTTTATTATTATTATTTTATTTTTTTGTAGGAAAGGTTTTTATTGGTAGGGGGAGGGAGGCTGTAGAGCAGCACCAAGGAGGAGAGAAAAGAGGGGAGAGAGATAAGAAGAGAATGGGGAAGAAAAGAGAGAGAGAGTAGAGTGAGGGGGAAGACAGAGGAGAGAGAAGGAAGGCAGAGGGAGGTGAGAGAGAGAGCCTCTTTTGGTATTTTAGAAATAAAATTGACCTCCTATGTTCTGGAGGGTAAAGAATTTGTCCTTCATGAAGAATCAAGATGAAACTTACATAGTAAGGTTCTGACCCTTCCTGTGGTTTTCCTTGGTTTTAGGACACTCACTCATCTCAGACAAATAACCACACTTAGACGCTGCATTTAGTGGCTGTGAAGTGAATGCTGGTGAGACAGTGGCTTACGGGGCTCTGGTTAGTGGAGGCTGAGTGTTTACTTCTGAAGTTTACAGTAATGGAACTCTGTTAGTTTAAAGAAATATAAATAATTTGCTTAAAATTAGAGTTTTACAGTAAGCGCTAAATTATTTCTTGACTAAAATAATAAAAAGCACTGATTTTCCTTCATCGTTTCTGCTGTGGAATGGTGTGGACTCTTAGCAGTCAGCGTCTGAGATGAGGCCTCCTCGGACATGTCGTGAAGAGCAGTGTCTGCTGTGGGGGCAACCTTGTGGGGCCACATCTGACACCGCAGGTCATGTAGAATAGAGAGCTTTTCAAGTAGAAGGTGCTTTGGAGATTCTACAGAGTCAAACCTCCTTAATTTATGTTTGGGAACAGTCTGAGAGCTGTATGTGAAGTGATTGGTCCAGTAGCATATATTCACTTGTCTGTACTTAGGTCTCTTGAGTTTGTTTGGAAGTAGAAGTAGAAATCTTGGAGAAAGGGAATCAAAAATTAGCTTTAAAAAAAATGGATGGTGAAGGTGTGTCCATGAGCATTTAGACAGAATGCTGGACATGCGATACTTACAGCCTGGTTGGAGGATCCAGGGAGCTGGTTCCATGCTGAGGGTTTGGAATTAAGTCCCTTCTCATCTGAGCTGAACGGGGAGTCAGGACATCACTGCCTGGACTGACTGTCAGCTCTGGAGCTGCCCTGGCCCTCCTATTCTGCACCAGCATCACAGGCGTCTCAGCAGCATGTCCGGGTGCAGGAGCCTAAATAATATCTGGTCCTCAGCCACACAGAAACCTGGGACTGACGGGTGTGTCTGTGGGCTGCCTGCAGTCAGCGAGTGTTGTGGACGGCAGGGCTGTGAGGAGGCTCACTGGCCCTGCTGCCTTGATCGCTCTTCTCTCACAGTCTCAGCAGAGACCACAATAAATATGATAAAAACAGGAAAAGGTTGGCTTGGCCCAAATTTGACTTTGGACTAAATATATAGAAAAATAAGATGGGGGCGGTGCTTATGGCTCAAAGTGGTAGGGCACTGGCTCCGTATACTGCAGGTGGTGGGTTCAAACCCAGCCTCCAGCCAAAAAAAAAAACTTAATTAAAAAAATAAGATAAACTGAGGTTTAACTCTTGACACTGATTTCTTGTTTTTTCTTTTGACCATACTTTATCACCTTAAGTCATGTGTTGTTTCCATGTTTTAATTTCTTAGAATGTATCTTAAAATCAGTTGAAAATCAGTTGAGCTGCGGCTGTAGGGTGGCTGCTATGTGCATGTGGACTTAGCGGCTAGGCCAAAGGCAACACCTTGGGTTGGGGGGGATGGATGGTCACGTGCAGAAAGACGTCAGCTCAGGAGAAGCCTGGAAGGGTTTGTTAGCAGGTGTGTGAGGGAGGCCTTGGCTGGGCAGGTTGGTGATGCCCTCTGTGCTGTGGGAAGCGTGTGGGCTGAGGAAGGCAGGGGCTAGCCTGGCCACAGAGACGTACTCGGGTCAGTGGCTGCAGAGCTTTTTCTGGAATGGCCACCTAAATCTGATGAGAATATGGAAGTGGATGCTGAAAGTCATGGCGTGGGAGTTGGCTTCAGAGTGGGCGAAGGATGTGGGCAGAGCTGATAGCAAGGAGGTGAAGCAGCTCTGCTTTCCTTCCCTAGTCAGAGGCAGTGCGTAGAGAGGGTGGAGCAGTCCAGGGCTGGAGGTCGGCGAGGCCAAGTCAGGGAAGGCAGGGAAGGACCAGCTGCCGTGGGACGTTGTGTAGGTCAGAGAGGCGCTCATTGCTGCATGAGCATGATGTTCTTACGGTTTTTAAAAATATCATAGCCATTCATTTGCATTTTAATTTCCAAATGTGACATGAAAGAATCTAGAATGGTTAATCAATAGTGGATAAATTGTGCACTTAAGAAAAATCAAAGCTTATAAAATAGAATTGATAATTTAATCACTGTGTATCTACATTCAGGCTGATGTGAAGCCAGAGGAAGATTCCTGGTTTCTTTTTCTTTTTTTTTTTTTATGGCCAGGGCTGGGTTTGAACCCGCCACCTCTGGCATATGGGGCCTGTGCCCTACTCCTTTGAGCCACAGGTGCTGCCCCAGATTCCTGGTTTCATTAGTAGGAACTCAGAAGTGAAATATGACAGATGTTCACATTGTGCTCCTGAAAACTACATTATCCAAACACTGTGGGGCTGTCAGTGTGGCTCCTGAGAACCACTCTGGAGGAGACTCAGAGTGTAGGCTGCAGAAAACAGTGCAGGCCTTTGCAGGGAACTGAGCTGCTTTCCCTGTATGGAGATGAAGAGTAGCCCCAACATTTTTATGCTTTTGTAGCAAATATGGGGTCCCCAGAGAAAGTACTGAGAGGAGCCTCGTAACGTGTTTGTAAGGAACACATGACGAGTCTGTGTTTATGAGGAACGTGTGACAAGGTCTATGTGTTAGGCTCTACCTGAGGAGTGGTCGGTGGTGAGCGGCTGTGTGGCTGTCTCAGAAGGCAGTGTGAGCAGTGGGCGTCTGCTGTGAGAAGGTCAGAACGGTGCGTTTGGGGTTCGTGTGTCCGGAGAGGGTGGACTCAGGGATGCTGGAGGTGTGGGAGACGCAGGTGTCAGGACGTGTGATTTGTAATGACTCTAGTCAGCTTATTTCCCAGTGAACACATCTGCCAGAATCCTGATAAAGTTAAGAAGATAAATAAACCTCCCACAGATGGTATCTAAACATTTTGCATAACTTTATTTGCAATACTGGGGGGAAAGAGATACCCCGAAGACCAGTACACGTGCGGTTCTGTGTGCACGTCAGATGTTTTAAACCACAGACGGTCCTTGGTGAGACCTCTTGGCTTCAGATTGTCCGTAATGGGCCGGTGGTCCAGTGGGGTGGACAGAAAGCCTCGAGTAGTTACAAGTGGGGGTTATTCCCTCAGAGCTCACTTACAGCACAGCACGGCTGGTGTCACTTCACACACTTCTTGGTGCCTTTACATTGAGAGTTAATTTCAGTTGCAGAGGCTTTGTCTGTTAAGTGAGCAATCTCCTTTTTACAGTTTTAGCAGTAAAGGTACATTCTTTGATTTAGGCTTCAGGAGAACAGTGAAGCTTGCCCTGTTCCAGTAGTAGGATGTTAGGAGGGACTTGTAGGTGTGTGGCGCCCGTGGTGGCACCTCAGGGAGGCGCTGGGCCTCACTTCTCAGGGAGCACTGAGGACAGAGTTTTGAGCTTCTTGATTAAACCTTGGCTGCGCCTCCAGCATGTCCGTCAGAGCCATAGTGGTTGACGAGGGCAGCACTGAGTTGCGTGCACCCTGCCCTGTGACGTGCTTCGCTGGGCGTGGAGGTGACAGGAAGCCCTGCCTGTCGCTGACCAGGCTTCGTGGCCACCTCCATGTTCATTGCCCGAGGGGTGATGTGTCAGTGCCTCTTGCTTTTTACACTAATTAAACTCACTGGAAAGGTGTACGCTATCCAAATCTGTCATCAGTTTCCTCTAAATAAAAATTCTGCCTTGAAAACAATTTTTCTTTTTTTTTTTTTTTTTGTCTTTTGAAATTTTGTTTCAAATATCTTTGTCTTTGGTCCCACATTGTCACCCCTTTCCTCCCCCAGGGAAGTGCTATTGAATCACATATGTCGTTATCCACTTTAAAGCTCTGTTCTTGGAACCACATCCTTCACTGCACCTTCTGTCCTCTAGAATCCTCACTGCTCTGAGGCCAGGCAGCTGGAGGCTGAATAACAGCCCTTTCTGCACGTGTTCTTGCTGTTTTCCGGGTGTCCAGCCCACGTGGCAGTCCGGGCCTCACATCAGTATCAGATTCTGTTATTGCTATGGTGTGATCTGGACCTTTGCACAGAGTTATGAGTTCACATGCATTTTATACTTGTGTATCTTTGTCCTCTGTTTAAGAATTTAGATTTTGATGAGCATTAGAATCATACCTCCTCCCCCATTTCTCTGCTGACCAAGCAGTACACGGTGACCCAGGACATAGAATCCCCGTAGTGGCACCTGGTGCTTCACTAGTAGAAAGGACTTTGTTAGAAAGTGCACGGCGCCATCTCTTCCTCCTCTCCTCTTATGTATCCCACTCATCCTGCTCTTAGGAAGGGCAAGACTGGTTCTGGCCTGACTGTGTGTGTGCCGCATTTATCTCCTCATCTAGGTAGCTCGTAAGTGAGAGTGTCTGGGGAGTCAGTTTGGCTGTGCTGTAAAGACTTCTCGTGATCACCCTCCGAGGGCCTGGCTCCGCTTTGAACTGTCCCGTGCATTACGTAACAATATTCTTTGAAGAAGAAACACAAAGCACAAGCACAGAGCTGTGGTAACCTTTCCCTTCTGATGGTGTTTGACCTCATGAAGGACAAAACGCCAGGTCTGAGCCCATTCACTTTCCAGTAAATGTCCTTTTGGTCTCCAGAAAGCTGGGGAATAGTAAATGTTTCATGCACAGTAGGCAGACTGATTATAACGGAGCCATAAAATAAAGCTCAATAGTACCGCACTATTGTAAAATAACCTTTTTGTATTTAACTCTTAAATATGGTTGTATTTTGTTTCATGCCATTCCTTGCGAGGTTCTTATTTTAGGTATGGTAATGTAAATCTACCTGAAATATGGCAAATTCTTATTTAGACTGAACAGCACAGAAGGCGATTACAAAGAAAGGTTATTTCTCGCTCAGGAAAGCTGGTGGGTGCAGGGAACGAGGGGAGGGCACGGTGCTGACGGCCTGTGCTTCTGCTTCCCGCCTGACAGCAGCTCTTGCTTTGCAGAGTTCTCTGGAGTGCTGCATCAGTGTCACATCCTGGCCTCCGAGATGGTCCATTTCATTCATCAGATGCAATATTATATCACATTTGAGGTATTTTTCAATCATCCTGGCAATTTTAACTTAAATAGGTCATGTCTAATGCTTTAGAAGATGGCATGTTTTATAAAAGATGCTACTCCAGGAAGAGCACGACCTCATCTGGAAGTTCTATACTGTCATCCCCAGGTACTCGAGTGCTCTTGGGATGAACTCTGGAATAAAGTGCAGCGGGCCCAGGACCTAGACCACATCATTGCGGCCCACGAGGTGTTCCTGGACACCATCATCTCTCGCTGCCTGCTGGACAGCGACTCCAGGGTAAGGCTCCAGAAACCAAACAACCACCTGCTTTTCTTGGGTTCTCGTGCAGTGGAGAATCCCAGGAATCCCCTGATGCAGCCACATTGGTAATTAGGTCAGTTTTATTGTAAGTAGTGCTGACATTAGGATGTGTGCTCACCTGGGTCTGAAAATGGTAGAAAGCAGTGGTGGGTGCCACATGTCGTGGTGGGACAGTAACATCCCACCTTGGTGTTCAAAAGAAAAAAATTAACCATGAGTGAGGAGTTTGAGTGACAGATGGATAAGATGTGCACAAAATAAACTAAGCCGCACAACCTGAGAACAGAACACATGGAAGCGTGTACGAAAGTTCAGAGGAAAGGCATGAAGAAACGGAGAGCCCGTGGAGTTGTGTTTTCATTTTCCTGCTCTCGTAGGATAATAGTCTTTTCTGTATTTTACCTTCTTTAATTCGGTATCTGACTGCATGAGTTAGAGTCAAACCCTAACGTGCCCATGGCCCTCAGGGCCTGCGTTCTGGATGTGGTTGTTCTGTGTGGTGCATCTTTTTGGAGTTGCAGTTTTGTTTAAAGGTCTAGGGCAAGAAGGAGCACGTTGCTTCCACTGGCAACAGATGCATCGTGAATGGGCATGATTTCAGTGCACTTTTACGTGAAGTCTCTGAAGATGCCTCTGACTTGGTTGGTTCCTGTGACTCAGTGAGTAGGGCGCCGGCCCCATATACTGAGGGTGACAGGTTCAAACCCAGACCCGGCCAAGCTGCAACAAAAAAAATAGCTGGGCGTTGTAGCGGGTGCCTGTAGTCCCAGCTACTCTGGAGGCTGAGGCAAGAGAATTGCCTAAGCCCAAGAGCAGGAGGTTGCTGTGAACTGTGACACTACAACACTCTAATGAAGGTGACAAAAGTGAGACTCTGTCTCCAAAAAAGAGAAAAAAGATGCCTCTGGTTCACAGAGGGCTTCTTCCCCCACATCTGCATGCTCTGGCTGCCCAGCGCCATGCTGCTTTAGGGCTTTCATTCTGTCTCAGTTCAAGTGTGTCTGCACTAGCAAGCATAAGTATTTTGATAACACTGAATTTCATCATTAAAGAATTATCAATTGGGGCCGTGCCTGTGGCTCAAAGGAGTAGGGCGCCAGCCCCATATACTGGAGGTGGTGGGTTCCAACCCAGCCCTGGCCAAAAACTGCAAAAAAAAAAAAAAAAAAGAATTATCAGTTATATGTGTGAAAACACTGTTGAGATCAAGAATGTTTATAGAATATGTTTTATATGTTTTTATAAATTTATTGAAATAATGACACAAAATTAAAGCATTTTGAATATATTAGTAACTTATACCTCAAGAGGTTTGGAGACCTTTTAAATAATCTCTATCACTAACCTAAAGCAGGCCAAAATTAGAGACAGTGTCGTAGATTCTGTCAGTTGACAGGGTTCTCTGTCAGCAGGTGTTGGTCAGTAGCCTCTGCCACTGTCGGGTGTGCCAGTGTGGTGACCAGCAGGACAGAGCCCCAGCCCTGGGGGATGTGGTGGCCACGTGCACATGGGACAGGGCCCTGTAGGCCGCCCAACCGAAGGCCACATGCTTAATAGCTTTCCATCTGTGTTCTCACGTTTTCAAAGGGCCTGGGGTTAGTCTATCTTGAACAGGTTTGTAAGATCCAATTATATAGTTAAAGTAAAACGTTTGCCATAGCAGCTGGCACATGGGTGTTAGTTTCTTTTATTTTTAAGCAAAAGTCACAGGACAAAGAACTCCACACTGTTGAGAGGAGAACCCAGTCTGTGCTGTCCATGTTGGTCACAGGCTGCCTCTCACAAGGAGCAGCGTCGCTCAGTCACAGCCCTGCGTCATTTGCCAAGTCAAGTCTAGGTTGTGTTTGTTGCTGTGTAGTCTGAAGACCTGGTCTTGCACCGGTAACTATGGTGCAGGGAGAGTGTGAAGTGTTCACTCTGCAGTACCTGAGTCTCCTGCGTTGGCTTGTTCTGAAACCCGTCTGGCAAACGTTCATTTCAGTCTCATCTCTCCTGAAGTCAGACATGAGCTGAACCGTGCTACGATCACCTAGCCAAGGAATTTTGAACCCAAGTGTTGCTGTCCCTTTGTAAAGGAAAATATTTTAGCAGAATAAAATGTGGACCTCAGCCAGCTGGGGCTGAGATGTGGCCACGAATGTCGTCACTGACTGTGAAGCTGTTTTCTCAAGAGTCTGCTCAGCTTCTCATCAGATCAGCTGCACTGAGTCTTCCCAGCCACGGGCTAGGACCTGCCCCAGTATTCTAGATTTTTTATACTTCTCCGTACACTTATATCATTTTTCTCCCATAAACTTCTTACAAATCCTTTTTTTGTGTGTGTGTGTGATTGTCAATGCATTGGTGAAATTTGGCCGGCCAGGAACGCTGCTGATTTTGCTACTTTGACCTTTTACCTGTTTCTTCTATTCTAGTATTTTCTTGAATGGTGCAGTACTTCCTTGAGTGTATTTTCTGCAGGTTAAGAGCAGCATTATTTCTTGGATTCCGTGCTGTGTGCCTTCTGCTCAGGTGTTAGTTGGGTCAGCTCTGCGCACCAGGGGTCTCTGCTTTACTCACGGTGTTGAAGGGAGCATTGCTGTTTCACCATTGCTATGGTGTTTACAAAGACATCTGGTAGGACCTTTGTCACTTACGGAGGGTTTGATCTAGTCCTGGTTTAGTTAGATGCTTCATTTCAATTATTGACCTGGTGTTCGATTTTATCACAGTTCTCTTTCTAGGCACTATTGAAATTCCACCCCTTTCAAATTGTTAATGGATTTTATTTTTACCCTAAGATGGCGGAGAGTAGAGTTAACCTTTCTCTTACTCATAGTGCACTGGCATCAGCAGTTCACGAGTGCTCTTTGGGGTCTAATCGTGTCCCTGCCCCGCACTTCTCACCATTTGCATCAGTTTCAGGGTCTTTGCTATGTGGCCTTTGCTGTGTGCCCCTGTATCTTTAATTTACATTAATGAATTTGTGCTGTACCTGTCACTGTTTCCTTTTTCTTTTTATGCCATGTTAGGAGAAAATTAATAAAAATGATGACAGGTGTATCCTGGGAAGTGTGACTGACAGCTCACAGCAGTGACTAGATGTGTGCTGTGACGTCGGTAGGTTTAAAACATTGAGTCCCTGAGCTGCGCCTGTGGCTCAGTGAGTAGGGCGCTGGCCCCATATACTGAGGGTGGCAGATTCAAACTCGGTCCTGGCCGAACTGCAACCAAAAAATAGCCTGGCATTGTGGCGGGCGCCTGCAGTCCCAGCTACTCGGGAGGCTGAGGCAAGAGAATCGCTTAAGCCCAGAAGTTGAAGGTTGCTGTGAGCTGTATGATGCCACGGCACTCTACTGAGGGCAACAATGTGAGATTCTGTCTCTACAAAAAAAAAAAAACAACCCATAACATTGAGTCCTGACCGACCGCTAGCAGCAGTGACTGGAGATGTGTGCTGTGACGTTGGTGGGTTTAAACACTGAGAACCTTTCCCTCAGTGGTAAGCATTCCTTTTATTTCTGGTATAAAATATGATACAAGTTTTTTTTATAAACCTTGCTGTATCTGTCTTTTATATTATACTAAGAATTTTCTTTCTTATAGTTTCTATTATCTGGTTTTGATATATCTCAGAAAAATCATGTGAGGCGCTTTCCTAGTCTTTTCTAATCTTTGGAATAGTCCCACTGATAACTGCCTATTGTCTGGCTTTGAAATTGGGGGTAGAGCTTCTTTGCTGCCATGCTGTTCTGAGAATTGGAGATGGTTTGCATAGAGTGCTGGGTGCCCGGGACCCAGTGTGTGGGGTTTGAATTGGAGATGGTTTGCATACAGCACTGGGTACCAGGGACCCAGTGTATAGGGTTTGGATTGGAGATGGTTTGCATGTGGGGTTTGAATTGGAGGTGGTTTGCGTACAGCGCTGGGCACCAGGACCCAGTGTGTAGGGTTTGAATTGGAGATGATTTGCATACAGCGCTGGGCGCCAGGGACCCAGAGTGTAGGGTTTGAATTGGAGATGGTTTGTATACAGCGCTGGGCATCAGGGACCCAGTGTGTAGGATTTGAATTGGAGATGGTCTGTGTACAGTGCTGGGCGCCAGGGACCCAGTGTGTGGGGTTTGAATTGGAGATGGTTTGTGTACCGCTCTTGGCGCCAGGGACCCAGAGTGTAGGGTTTGAATTGGAGATGGTTGGTATACAGCGCTGGACACCAGGGACCCAGTGCGTAGGGTTTGAATTGGAGATGGTTTGTGTACAGCGCTGGGCACCAGGGACCCAGTGTGTGGGGTTTGAATTGGATATGGTCTGTGTACAGCGCTGGGCGCCAGGGACCCAGTGTGTAGGGTTTGAATTGGAGATGGTTTGTGTACAGCGCTGGGCACCAGGGACCCAGTGTGTGGGGTTTGAATTGGAGATGGTTTGTATACAGCACTGGGCATCAGGGACCCAGTGTGTGGG